AACCACGGGGGACAGGGGACAGGGACAGGGGACGGGACAAGGGACAGGGGACAGGGATGGGACGGGACAGGGACAGGACAGGGTCAGGGACAGGGGACCGTCTCCAACAGTCCAGGGGGTGACAGATCCATGGCGGCTTTTGATCTTGGCACCCGGGTCCTGAGTACCAACTCCCCAAATGGTGAGACCGGCACCTGCGTCCTGCCTGTCCCCTGGGGAGCCCAGCTGGGCTTGGTGTCCTCCGGACTCAAGTCACAGAGGCCGAGCACGGCCACGTGGCAAGGCGGCCGCAGGTCTGTGTCTCTTGTGCCACCACAGGCTCTGGGGTGCGTTTTGTGACCAGGTCACTCGTCCCCTCCTCTGAGATAAGTGACCAGAGCAGCGGATGCTGGGCAGGATGTCCAGAAAACCAGGGGAAGGTGTCACCATCACATCCTGTCCCCACTCACATGGACGCCTGGGAACATTACGTGTGACCCCAGCACTGCTGGTTGCTGAAGGATCAGAGTCCCCCACGGGGCGCTGGCCTGGCCTTGGCTTCCGTCCCAAGCACCTCAAAAAGAACCGGACCCCAGCACCCCACCGTGGACAGCTCGGGTAGAAGGTCCTTCCCGTCCCGGGAAGGGGGCCACACGTGGCCATCGCCCAGCCTTGTGTGACAGTGACATGGTGTCGGGAGAACCAGCACGAGGATGGATGGACGGCTGGCCTGCGTCTCCCTATACAGATGACATGTGACACAGCGACCGTCCCCAACGGTCGGAAATTGGGGGGAGGGGGAGGGGACATCCCTTGTAGACTTGCAGCATGACTGAGTGACAGCACAAGATGGACGGACGGACGCTTGGCGCTGAGCTGCTGTCACAGCAAAACAGTGGGACAGACGAAGGGCACCGAGCCTGGTGGCAGCCACCGTGGCCACCACCACCCTCCCCGGCCACCCTCATGGGGACACGGGTCTCGTCAGCTTATGACAAGGCAGAGAGGACATCTGAATCCATGTCTCCACACGTATTAAAGTCAAGCCATGGGGCACACAGGGGACCACGATTTGGGGCCCTGCCTGGAGGGTACAGGTGACCCCAGGGACATAAAATGACATTAGCACCAAGCCTGAAGCCTTTCCCTAAAAAGCAAGGCTGGAAATGTTGGTTTCTGGCAGCTGGCTTCTGATGAGGACAGTGTGACACTGACCAAGTGCCCGCCGGGTGACATGAAGACGTCACTGCTGCTCATTGCATCCAGGGGCGCCCAGAGAGGTTAAGCTGTTCCCCAAAGCCACGCAGCAGCAGGTGACAGAACTGCAGTTCCAAGATGGGCCTTGCTGTGTCTCGGGGACCCGATCTCCCCACCAGGCTGCTTTTTTATTTATTTATTTTCTTTTTGTGACACTGGGATTTGAACTCAGGGCCTCATACTTGCTATGCTGGCGCTTGTCCACCCGAGCCACCATCTGTCCCCGACACCTCAAATGCCATTTCACACGGATAAGCGAGACCTGGGTTTCCTGCCCGTGGGGACCGCCCCCCCCACCGTCACCCCCCTTTGTGACAAGGACGGGACCGGCAGAGGTGACAGCTCATGGGACAATGTCACTCTGCTGCCTGGAACCTGGCCGCTGAGCCCACGGCTAAACACGGCCAGGACGGCTGCTTTCTGCCCCTCAGGTGCCAGATCTGGCGGCCTCTGCGGGGACAAGAGCCGGGTTCCTGCTGCGTCTGCGGGGACGTCACACAGCCCGTGACAGAGAATCCCGGGACATAAAGCTGGGGACAGACGCCTGTAATCCCAGCTACAGGATCAAGGATCAAGGGTCAAGGCCAACCCTGGACAATTAGTCCCCAAGACCCCGTCTCCAAAATGACCAGAGGCCAATGACAGGAGCGCCCAGTGTGACGTCTTTTCCTTTTCGGATCCCAGACCTCGCTCCAGATCCAGCGGGGGACAGGCTTGAGGGACACCAAGGTCCAGCCGGAGCGCTAACCGTTCGGCCTTGGGGACAGTCTCTCAGCCGCTCTTTGCTTGGCCCCTGCTCCATGCCAGCTCTGTCACCGGCTGTCACCGGCTGTCACCCTCACAGCAACAAGCAGGACGTGAGACGTGGCCGGGGAGGGATGGAGGTTGACGGTCACTGCAGAGCCCAGCCTGCCCAGCACACGGCTGGGACAAGACCATGTCTTGTGTCACCACGCGGGGCCCTGGTGGTCACAGCCAGAGGTTGCAATGCATGCGAGCGAGCGAGCGAGGGTGGAACGAGCCAGCAGCTCCTGGTCGTGGGTGTGCGAGGGTGGTGACAGCCGTGTTCCTGGCGCAGTCCGCGTGTGCAGGACACGCGGTGGGACTGAGTCGGCTGCGTGTCGTTCTCTTTGGAGATAATTATGAAATATTCCCAGGAATTAAAATACATTAAAAGTGTATAAAGTGTGCTGGGTCCTGGGACCTGAACTCAGGTCCTCACTGAGCCCCCAAGTCCCCCTTTTTTTGGATATGGTCTCACATTTTTACAGGACTATCCTAAGACTACAGTCCTCTTACCCTGCCCTCTGCATTGCTGGGATTACAGACACACCCCACCAATCCTGGCTTGTTTGTTGAGATGGGGTCTCACTAACTTCTCACTTGGGCCAGCCTCAAACCTCCATCTTCCTGCCTCCCAAGTGGCTGAGGTTACAGGTGTGAGCCGTGGCGCCCGGCTCACTGCACATGTGTTTCAAGTTGACAGAGACGGTCTCCTGCCCTGTGTGTCTGTGGCCTGATTGTCACTCATGAGTCACAGGTCCGAGGACAGTCTGGGTGGCCGTTGTGGGGCTGCACAGGTCACTGCGCCCCCCAGCCGCATCCGTGTCCATGCTGGTCGCCCAGGCTTCAGACACCCATGGGTATTGTCACTGGGTCATACTGAGGACGGAAGCCCGGTCGCGGGGTGCACCTGCACAGCCCCACTCGGTGAACCCCACTTGCTTGGCGGGTTCGAATCCTGCAGCACGCAGACAGAGCAGTGTTTCCGGGCCGGCCATGACTCATCCGTGAAATACTACACACGCATAAAAAAGAAGGCCGCCCCCAGCACCTGGGTTTAAGGTCTGAGTCCAAGAGGGAGATGGCAGACAGGACTGGTTCTGGGCACAAAAAGGTTTTGGCTGCAGCCGAAGGAAAGGACCCGGTGACGTGTGTCGCTCGAGGCGCTGCCTGACGTGGCTGCAGACAGTCCAGCCATCTCCTCCCTCTCCCATCTCTTTCGTCATTGTTACTGCTGTGCTGGGATTTGAACCCAGGGCCCCTGGTTGCTCTCACTTGAACTACGTCCCCAGCTTCCTTTTGTTCTCGTTCATTTTGTTCTACAATAGGGTCTCGCTAAACCTTGCCTGTGTCGGTCGATCCCCACCCCTGCCTCCAGGGGGGCTGGGATTACAGGCGTGCGCCACCGTGCCTGCTCCCTCCGCCCGCAAACCACCGTCCACGGAGGGACCCTGGGGGTGGCTTCGCGTGGCAAGGTGCGGTCAGGAATCCCAGGTTGGACTGACGTGTGACTCTCAGTGACCGTTAGGACTCTGCTTCAGTTTCCTTGTCTACAAAGCTTGTCCTCCTCTCAGACTCGCTGTGACACTTGACTGGCTTCCATGAAGGTTCAGGGACTCAGGGGACACTGTCAAGCTGGCCAGCTCCACTGGGCTCCACCTGACCCGGGGTACGGGGAGCTCGTGGTGCCACTGTCCCCGAGATCCCAGGTCTGTGACTGGCATCCCCCAAGGCCGGTGGCCCCTTTCAGCTTTGTTATGGAAGCAGGTTCACCCGTCACTTCCTGCTCTGCTGAGGTGGCCTCACTGTCACCAGGGCCCTGCAAGGTGCGTCTCTGCATCACACGTGGCCCCGTGTCCCAGAAGGGCGGGAGGCAGGTGTCCCTTACGCCCTCCGCACCCCGCAAAAGACTGAGCTCTACTGGCCACCCACCTGGGGTGCTGCAGGCGTCACCGTCACCGCCCCCGTCACCGTCACCACCGCCGTGGTGGCCCGAGGCAGAAGGAACAGTGACGGGGACCGGGGAAGGGCCCCGGGCTCATTGTGTCGTGGCCACAGGAGGTGACAAGTCCACGCTGCGAGGTCTGTCCTCAGGTCTGTCCATCTCTCTGCCCTGCCATCCTGAAGGCATTAGTTTTTGTCCTCAGGTCACACGCTGGGCGTCACAGTCTCCTTAACTCGTGTTCCTGTCCAAGGTCAAAGGAAACCCTCAAGGTCGCCCCCGCACCCTGTAGACGTCCCCAAGGGAAGCAAAGGACATCAAATGCTTCTTGTGCCTTCCTAAGTCACGGGCGGAGGCCACACAGAGCCACCCCCCTGTGACCGGGGACACCCAGCCTCTGTGCACCCCGGGGCGGGGACCCCCAAACCCAGCGGCAATGTCACTGTCGGGGCCTGACCTCAGCCGTCAGGTCAGCGCGACTTCCATCTGGGACGAAAGCCAGCCGTCGACTCGCACATCGTCACACGAGCCACTGTCCCCGCCATCCTCGTGTCACCTGGGCGGCCACTGTCCCCAGGTGTCACAGGTGCTACCGGGAAGCCCACAGGGAGTGGAGGTCATGGTGTTCAGTGAGCTAAGCCAGGCACGGGGCTGGGGGGACACCGCGTGAGGTCACTCGGATGTGGCCCCAAAAGTTGGTGTCCTAGAAGGAGGAGGGGACAGTGGCGACCAGGGGCTGGGGACAGTGGCATGGTCATCGGGTTCTGAGTTGCAGTCAGACAGGGACAGAAGTTCTGCCGGCCTCGAACCACGATCCTCCCGCCCTCCGCCTGCCGAGCAGCTGGGATTACAGGCGGGAGCCACGGCGCCCGTCCACCTCTAAAGTGCTCGTGGCCTGCGTTTCTGCCGTTTGGCGCATAAGGAAACACCTCGTGTCCCCGTCCCCTTCCTCAGACAAAGGCGCAATGTCACCTCCGCTCTTCTCCGCCGCCCCCGGGGCCGCGGAGGTCCCTGCAGCGGCCGTGCTTGTGCCCCGCAGGGCCTGGGGTGGACGAGTACATGGGGACGCTGAGGGACGAGGAGGACTCGCTGTGGGAGAACGTGGAGAGTCACCGGCACTTGCTGAGTCGCTCCATCAACCCCGCCAAGCTCACGCCGTACCTGCGGCAGTGCAAGGCCATCGACGAGCAGGACGAGGACGAGGTGCTCAGCGCCCCCATGCTGCCCTCCAAGATCAACCGCGCAGGTGACCGCGGGGACCGCAGGGGACCGCCCCACCCCAGCGTCGTGCCGCAGCCCGGTCTCCCCCGTGGGCGGTGGGGGCCAAGGGAGCCGCGTCGTCACGGTGGCGGTCCCCAGGCCGCCTGCTGGACATCCTGCACACCAAGGGCCGGCGCGGGTACGTGGTGTTCCTGGAGAGCCTGGAGTTTTACTACCCCGAGCTCTACAAGCTGGTGACCGGCAAGGAGCCCACGCGCAGGTTCTCCACCATCGTGGGTGAGTCACGGCGCCATCTGCCTGCCATCTGCCCCAGGCGGTCCCTGCTGTCCTGACCCGACCGGGACGGCACCTGGGGACCGCGTCCTCGTCATCCTCACCGTCCCTGCGCCCCTCGCCCGTCCACGCTGTCTGTCCAGTGCCCCCTCCTCCTGTCCCCCTGTCCCCCTGTCCCCCTCCTAAGGCTTCAGTGACGTCCATTGCTGGCGTGACCCCAAGGTCCCCCACACTCAGCTCTTCCCCGGGCTTCTCTCTCTCTCTCTCTCTCTCTCTCTCTCCTGATCTTAAGACCAGCTCAACCACCAAGACTCTCTGCCCAGCATGGGTCTCATCCCCTCTGTCTCTCAAGGTCTCCTCTGTCCCCTGTGGTCCTCTCTGTCCCCCAAGGTCTCCTCTGTCCCCTGTGGTCCTCTCTGGTCTCCTCTATCCCCTGTGGTGCCCTCTGGTCCCCTGTGTCCCCCATTGTCCCCCTGCCCCCAGAGGTCCCCTCTGTCCCCCACGGTCCCTTGTGTCCCCTGAGGTCCTCTCTGTCCCCCGTGGTCCTCTCTGTCCCCCAAGGTCCTCTCTGATACCCATGATCTCCTCTGTCACCCATGGTCCCCTCTCTCCCCCCATGGTCCCCTCTGTCCCTTCTGTCCCCCATGGTCCCCTATGTCCCCTGTGGTCCTCTCTGGTCCCCTCTGTCCCCCATGGTCCCCTGTATCCCCCAAGGTCCACTCTGTCCCCTGTGGCCCTCTCTGGTCTCCTCTATCCCCTGTGGTACCCTCTGGTCCCCTGTGTCTGCCATTGTCCCCTCTGTCTCCCGAGGTCCCCTCTGTCCCCTGAGGTCCCCTCTGTCTCCCGAGGTCCCCTCTGTCCCCTGAGGTCCCCTCTGTCTCCCGAGGTCCCCTCTGTCCCCTGAGGTCCCCTCTGTTCCCCATGCTCCCCTCTGACCCTGAGGTCCCCCCGTCCCCCATGGTCCCCTCTGTCCTCCATGGTCCTCTCTGTCCCCCATGGTCCTCTCTGTCCCCAAGGTCCCCTCTGTCCCCCATGGTCCTCTCTGTCCCCTGTGGTCCCCTCTGTCCCCTGAGGTCCCTTCAGTCCCCCATGGTGCCCTCTGTTTGCTGTGGTCCTCTCTGGTCCCCTCTGTCCCCCATGGTCCCCTCTGGCCCCCATGGTCCCCTCTGTCCCCCCGTGGTCCTCTCTGGTCCCCTCTGTCCCCAATGTCCCCTCTGTCCCCTGAGGTCCCCTCTGTCCCTCATGGTCCCCTCTGTCCCTTCTGTCCCCCATGGTCCCCTCTGTCCCCCAAGGTACCCTGTGTCCCCTGTGGTCCCCCCGTCCCCCGCCATCCCCTGTCCCCTGACCAGCGGCCTTCCCGGGTCCCCTGGCATTTTGCTGCCTGTCCCCTGGCCCCGGGAGCTCGGGCGCCTGCGGTGGACCGACGGCTCCGTCTGTGTCCGTCCGTCCGTGCGTGCGTGCGTGCTGGCCGCAGTGGAGGAGGGCCACGAGGGCCTGACGCACTTCCTGATGAACGAGGTGCTGAAGCTGCAGCAGCAGATGAAGGCCAAGGACCTGCAGCGCTGCGAGGTCCTGGCGCGGGCGCGGCAGCTGGAGGACGAGAAGCGGCAGCTGGCGCTGACCCGCGTGGAGCTGCTCACCTTCCAGGAGCGCTACCGCAAGATGAAGGAGGAGCGGGACGGCCACAGCGACGAGCTGCTCAAGGTCAAGGACGACAACTACAACCTGGCCATGCGCTACGCCCAGCTCAGCGAGGAGAAGAACATGGCGGTCATCCGCAGCCGCGACCTGCAGCTCGAGGTGTGCGGCCTGCTTGCGCTTTAGTATTCATTCATTGAACGGTTCGGGATCAGAGCGCAGGGCCTCGCCCTGGCAGGCGGCTGCTCGAGTCCTTTGTGCTGTAGTTGCTTCTTGAGCAGGGTCACGCTCACGCCCTGGCCGGCTGCACCGCCGTCCTCCTGTTTACTCTCTGCGGAGCTGGAATGACACGTGTGTGCAACCGCGCCCAGCTTATCTATTGAGATGGGGTCTCCTGAAGAGTTTTGCCCAGGCTGGCCTTGAACTGAGATCCTCCCAGTCTCCACCTCCTGGGTAG